CCTGGTTATAAATAAGTAGCTTATCTGTCCCCTTACCTGGATTTGTAAACTATAAGATAACTTTCAATCTTTGGACTAACTGTAATAAAGTTTCTACTATGACATTATATAAAAAAAAAAAAAGAATTAGAATTAGAAGAAGAAGATTTGGATAATAGTAGATAATTTACAACTTGTATTCAAACTAACCAATACTTCACTAAGGTTAATAATCAACTTATATCTAATATAAAGATCGAAAATAGTGAAGACTCTAGAAACAATATAGACGAAATTTTTAAAATGTTTAAATCTGAAATAGAAGATATGGTTCTCGAACAAAAAGTTGTAAAACAAAAACCTAAAAAAATATCTATTACTGAAAACAAATCTATATTTATAGGAAATAATTTAAACAATGAACAAAAAACAAAAATAAAAAATTCTCTAAAAGGAAATTCTGATATTTTTGCAACTCAATTCTCAGAATTTAGACAAACCAATGTTATTTACCATGCTATTCATACTGAAAACCACTTTCCTATCAAATAATGAGCATATTGAGCATCTTTTATTGAACAAGAGCATATTAAAAATGAAATAGAAAAAATGGAAAAAGATAGAATAATTTGTAAATCTGAAAGCCCTTGGAGTTTGCCAGTAGTATTAGTCAAAAAGAAAAATGAAAAGCTTCGATTTTGTGTAGGTTAAATTCTATAACTAAGAAAGATATATATCCTCTTCCTTGTATAGATGAAATATATAGATAATTTAGAAAAAGCTAAATGGTTTACTTCTTTAGATTTAACCTCTGGATACTGGCAAGTTCAAGTAAAAGAAGAGGATAAAAAAAAGACGGCTTTTATTACAAAATTTGGTCTTTATAAGTTCAATGTCATACTATTTGGACTTTGTAATGCTTTTTTAACATTTCAAAGATTAATGGATGTAGTTCTTAATTCTGTTATCTGGAAATATGCAATAGTATATATCGATAATGTCAATATATACTCTGAATCATTTGAACAACATCTAGAACATTTAAATGAAGTTTTCAAACTAATAATGAAGGCTAATCTACGAATCAACCCTGAAAAATGTCATTTTTGTACAAATAAGATGCAATTACTAGGACATATAGTAAGAATTAATGGAATAAAACCTGATCCACAAAAGGTAGAAAAGTTAGAAAAACTTCCATCGTCCAAAAACATTACTTAACTTAGAGCATTTATAGAACTAGCTTCCTATTATAGAAGATTTATTGAAGAATTTGCTAAAAAGGCTGCGCTAGTGTTCCAAATTGTTAAAATTTTACCAATCAGTTAGTTGCCAACTATAGTTAACAACTAACTGGTTATGTATATCATGTAATATTTTCAGATATTAGCCAATCAAATCCAAGAAATCATTCCAAATTATTCCAAATAAGCAGAATATCTTGGAATTATATCAATTGAATGATTAGTTGGTTAGTTGATTAAAAAATTTTCTAACTGGTTAGTTAGAAAGTTGTCAACTATTCAGTTTTCTAATTAACAATTTGGAACACTAGGCTGCGCCTTTACATAAACTATTACAAAGGGATATAGAATTTATTTGGACTGATGAACATGAAGAAATATTTAATTGGCTTAAACAACAATTAATTACTCCTCCTATACTCCAATATTCTGACTATAATGTACCTTTTATTCTCTTTACAGATGCTTCTTATCAAGGCATTGGAGCTATACTTACCCAAATAAAAGACAAAAAGGAATATGTTATTGCTTATGCAGGCAGGACACTATCCCCTGCAGAGAAAAACTATAGTACTGTTGAGCTCGAATGTTTAGCAGTAGTCTGGGCAGTAAAATATTTTCGACATTATATACATGGAATGAGATTTACTCTGGTTACTAATCACAAGGCTTTACAATGGCTTTTAAACTCTACCACCATTAATGATAATAAACAAATTACAAGATAGAGACTCACCTTACAAAAATATCAGTATGATATTAAATATCGTGCTGGTAGCCGGAACCAAAACGCAAATTTCTTCTCTCGCTTACCAGAATTTTATAACGATAATGGATAACAAAGATTATAATTAATTATTAAACTATCTTACTTATCTCATATACCCTACGAATGCCTCTAATACAGAAAAATCTCGTTTACAAAAAGAAGCCAAGAAATATTTTATAGAAAATAATATTTTATATCATCAAAAGCCAACTATCTTATATTCTTTATATGATGAACAAGGAGTGGGTATTGAATTTACTTATAATAAAATAAAGGAAAGATTTTACTGGCCTGGAATGTATGAAAACATTAAAGATTATATACAAACATGTGATATTTGCCAAAAAAGAGGACATGAAGTTAAACGCCAAATCTTATGACCATTAGAAGTAAAATATACATTCTATAGAATAGGAATAGATATAAAAGGACCATTGCCAATAACAAAACATAGTAACAAATATATCATTGTTGCTATGGATTACTTGACAAAGTGGCTTGAAGCAAGAGCTACTTCAGATATAAAAGCTATTACTGTTGCTAATTTTATCTATAAAGACATTATTTGTAGACATGGAACTCCAGAAATATTACTTTCTGATCGAGGAAAGAATTTTATAAATGAGATTGTAAAGGAATTGTGACAAAAATTTCAAATTAAACATCATAAATCTTCAGCATATCGACCTCAAACCAATGGAATGATAGAAAGATTCAATCGAACAATTGGTGAAGCTCTAGCAAAAATTACAAGCTATAAATACAAAGAATGAGATGAAATCCTTCCTTCTGTATTATTAGCTTATCGAACTATGAAACATGGAACTACAAAATTTACTCCATTTTCTTTAATATATTGACATAAAGCCAAATTACCAATTGAAACCATTATAGAAACTTATTATGATAAAGATATATTATTTCAAGAAACATTGCTAAAAAGAGTGTTTGAAATAGAAGATTTATTTGTAAAACAACAAGAAGCTATACAAAATATACAAGAAGCACAATACAGTCAAAAAGAATATCACAATAAAAATCTCAAACATAATACTTTGAAAATTGGAGATAAAGTGTTAGTAGCTAGATCTCATCTTAAAAATGTCTTTTCGGCAAAACTAGAAGAACAATTTATAGGTCCTTACATCATTCATGATATATTAAAATTTGGAGTTTATAAACTACAAACCTTCAATAGCAAAAAAGTAAAAGATCCTGTACATGGAGACAGATTAAAATTGTATCACGATAGAGAAATTAAAGATCTCCCTATACCTCAAATTATTATTACACAAAATAATAACACAAATTAGTAGATCATATAACCTTGACTTTTATAAATATACTCTTTGGTCATCAAAATTCCTTAAATTTTCAAATCCTTAAAATTTTCTTACATTTAAAATCTTATAATTTTTATTTAACTTTTAAATATAACTTTTTTATATTCTTTTAATTATAAATTTCTTTATTTAAAATGGAATTACAAGTTTCTGACAATATGTTTCTTAATCAATTCTCTATTAAAGCATTACAAGATTACAACGATTCTTGAATGAATGGAGACAAGAATATAACAACGACAAACACTTGACAATTGATCAGAAAAAGATTATTCTCGTAGAAAATAATGAAGCTAGAATTGAAATATCAATTAATGAAATTCTTGAATATTCTTTTACAAGTCTTCTAGAATTTGATTTCTTTAATAAATTTATTAATCACAAAAAATGGGATACGCTTCATCAAGAGACAACAGTAAATCTTGATCATACTTCTTTAAGTCCCTAAAATAATATAATATTGAATGAAGAATATAATATAAGAGAACTTTCTGAAAACGAACCTAGAGAAGGAAGATCTAATCTCAAAGAAAATAATTTTAAAATAAATTAAATAGTACAATTTGATAATAAAAATTCAACTTTAAACAAAGATGACTCTCCATTTGCTAAAATAACTAGAGATTTGAAACGGAATTCAGAAGAAAATGATATACCAATTTCTCCTTTTGTTAGAAATGATGAATTAGATATTTTTAACGGAATCATTAGAGCCTATATCAAGATTAAGAAAAATAATCGCAAACATATTTTACGATTAGAAATAGCATATTATCTAGGAAAGCTCTTTGTTGATAATAATCATAACAATTGAATAATAACAAAATTCAATCGAATTTTGTTAAAAAAGTTCAAGAAATCTGGTGCTAATCGATTACGAATTCAAGCAACCAGAATTTACACTTTATTTTATAAATATGGACTTAGTAAATTGTATAACTTAGTTGAAGTGTATATTACGGACTTTGGAAAATTAACAATGGAACAATTTGAACAATTAAAAAACTGAATTTTATTGAAGAAGAAAAAGAATTACAAAATACATAGATTACGGTTCTCTATGCTCAAAAACTCGATAGCCCTTATAAAAACAATACTTCTTCATAGCTTCAATCCTACTAACGATTTTACATTTCTTCAATACCAAATGAGATTCCAAAGTATCTTGACTTAATCTTCCTGCCAAATCAAGTTGTTCTTGAATGGATATTAACTCACGAGCAAAAATTCGATATTCTTGTTGGAAACTTATAAAAATATATATATATATATATATTTACTTCTATTATTATTATTATTATTCATTTTATTATTATTATTATTATTATACCATTGTTCTTCGTTAAAACCTAGACCTTCAAGTACGTAGGGATAAGTAACTACTTCTGGTTGAACAACTTCTGTAGTAGTTGCTTCTTCTTGAACAACTTCTGCGGTAGTTGTTTCTTCTTGGACTTCTTTTTTCTTTTGAGTTTCCTCATTATCAGAGATTACAATAATTTCTTTATTATTATTATTATTATTATTATTATCATCATTATTATTGTTGTTATTATTGTTGTCGTTATCATTACTTTTATCGTTGTTATTATTATTATTGTTACTATTATTATTGTTACTATTATTTGTAATATGATAATAATAACATTTAAGGTGGGCCTGAATATAAGAATGTTTAGTTATTTTTAAAACAAAAAATTTTTCAAAAGAAAAGATGAAGAAAATCTGGGTGAAAGCGACAAGTATATGCAGTGTAACATACAACCCAACTTAAATTTGAAAGATTATCAAACCCACGAGAACAAATTAAACAATATTATTGGACAATCTATAACCAAATTTAGATTATCAAAAGGGTACAAAAAAGATTTTCATTATATATACAATACTGTAGTATAGTGGGTAGAGCGTATAGCACTGCAGAGCTGTGTGTTCGAATCCCATTAGTAGCTTGTTATACTAGGTGCACTCTAGCGACAATACTAGCCACAGTAGAACGTTTGAATTTTATTTATTTTATATTTTTATTATTATTTTATTATTTTTACTACTAGTATCATTTATTTTATTATTATTTTATTTTTCTTATTTGTAACTACTTACTAACTTCTTTAATTTTGCGAAGCAAAATTTTTGAAGAAGGGAGTAGTATTATATTAGTATTATATTAGTATTTTAAATTTTCTATTATTCATCTATGTGTAACTACTAAGTGTAGTACAAATATTATTTAACTAATAGAATCCTTAGTATTAGTTTTATTAGTATAGTTTTTAT